CTGCAAGTATTATAAGGAACCCCTGTGCATTCCATGATAGCCCCACATGGTAATACTAAATTAGCACCTCGACAATTTTTTGTCTGCAAGAATTTATGTTTGTGTGCCTACATACTAGGAGCCAATTCATGCAAATAATAATAACTGACCATTTTAGACCAGATGGTAAGGCTTACAAAGTGCTTCTATAAGCAATATTTTATTTAAGTCCCATAGTAACCCTATGAAGTAGGTACTAGTAACAACCCCTAATTTGCTTTTGGTGGTGCGGTAGACTGCTGGACCTGGCGTCAGGAAGACCCAGGTCCAAATCCAATCTCATACAAATACTAGCTATATAACTTTAAGCAAGTCACTTTCCTCTCTCTGTCTCTGTCTCTCCATTCTGTCTCTCTCTGTCTCTGCCTGCTCTCTGTCTATCTGTGTCTCTCTCTGTCTCTGTCTTTCTCTGTCTCTCCATCTCTCCATCTCTCTCCATCTCTCTCTCTCTCTCTCTCTGTCTCTCTCGGGAATAATAGGAATAAAACTAGCGTCGATCTTCTAGGAAGATGCTATTTGTAAAGCGTTTTGCAACCCTTAAAGCACTATATGAATGCTAGCTATTATTATTACAGATGAGGAAACTGAGGTTTAGATCCGCCTAAGTGACTTGCCTGTGGTCAAACAATTAGTTAAGTATCAGAAGCATAGCAATAATAACAGGACCTACCTCTCAGAATTGTGAGGCTCAAATGAGAGATAGCATAGAATTTGAAAACCTTAAAAAAGTGATTCTTAATCTTTTTGTGCTTATCTTGGACCCCTTGGGCAGTCTGGTGAAACCTGTGGACCCCTTTTCAGAATAATGTTAATTCTTAATTAATTAAATAAATAATTAGATTAGAATTAATCAGAGTTAATGTTAAATTCAGAAAATGAAATACATAGAATTATACAGGAAATCAATTATATTGAAATACAGTTATCAAAATTTATTTTCAAACAAGTTAATGGACACCTAGCTTAAGAACTCCTTGCTTAAAGCACTGTATGAATGTAAACTCTTAGGCTGCTGAGGTTGCTTGTATACAAACCGTCCCTTGAACCTGACCAAATAACAGACTCTGGTAAAAGGAATGGAAGAAACACCTCTTTATCCTCAAGGTTACATCCCCCAGCTCATTGGGCTCCCCAGTATTCTAACTTGATCGCCTTTAAAAAAAAAATAGCCAACAGCTTGGTGGCCACCACAAAAAGAACATATAAAAAGCACAAACCACTTTACCGAGGAACTGGAATGAGATTCTCACTGTAAGAGACATTGTTTTAATCTCCCAAGATAAAGACTCATTACTTAGCAATATTTTATAATAGAACAAAACTAATGCTCTACAGTAAATCTAATAAAATTAAATAATCATTAAGTTAAGAAAGCTCTTCTGAGGTCACTGCTTGGCCTTCAGGCAATGTTCCTTCCATACCTACTATAAACAGGACTCTGTGCTACAAGCTGGGGGATATATGACATTTAGATGCCCTTCAAGTCCTCAGAGTCTAACAGAGAGAAATGGCACGAGATGCCAGCGAATGCAGCTCAAGGGCCCCAGAAAGGGCCTAAAGAGCATGCTGTGTAAGGCAGGGAAAGCTATGTCCAGCTAGAGCGAAGCAAAAGTGGGCTTTAAAACACATTCCAAGGACTGCTTTCAAACGGCTGCTGAGTCTCTTACCACTGGACATCATCCTAAGCTTAATTAGCATACCCTCTGTTTCATTATCTAGAAGCAAAGGTCACTATTTTGACCTCCATAAGTTTTCTACCATGAACCAAAAACTGGCAAAATGGGGCAGCTATTGTGGGAGCAGGAAACCTCCCCAAGGCCATTTTTTTGCTTTTAATGAAAATGGTGGCATTAGCCATCTCCAGGCATGACCTTCAGTCACTTGTAGTTCTACAGCTGAGAACACTGAGGCTCAGGAGTGACTTGTCCAGGATCATAAAGTGACAAAATAGTAAATGTTGAAGGTGGGATTAAACCCATCTTCCCTGCCAAGCCCATCACACTGTCCACTATGGCCTTACTGCCTCTTGCACACAGAATTCATTTATCTGTACCTTTCAATCTACCAGGCATGTCACCTGAATAAAGGAACTTGCAAATTTGGGCAAGGCTTGTTCTTTATAAAACATAATAGCTGATACCCAAACCTCTCCCCTCTTTTTCCCCCTCTCCCTCTTCCAAATCTCCTTCTCCCTCTCCCTCTCCTCCCTCTCTCTCTTCCTTTTCCTCTTTCTCTTCTTCTCCCTCTCTCCTTCTTCTCTTTCATTCCCTGCACTTCTCTTTCTCTCTCTCTCTTTCTCTCTTTCTCTCATTCTCCCTCCCTTTCTCCTCTCACTCTTTCTCTCTCTCTTCTTTCTCTTCTCTTCTCTGTTTCTTTCTCTCCTTTCTCTCTCTCCCACATTCATATATGTATCTGTGTTTGCATATTAATTTTGAGGTGACACTTTTTATAGAATTTTTTTTTTGAAAATCAAAGCTAAACATGGATGGCCATAGTGTCCAATACATTCCAGCACATGCACCAGACTTTTTCCTTTAGGCACTTCCCCAGCTTTCCAAAATTTATAAAACTAACAGCTACCTTCACTCTGGTAAATTCTTTTGCCACTTGAGATCGATTTATTCAAGTCATTGGGGAGACTATATATATGACTAAAATTTTGGAATGTTAAAGCTAGATGGGCCCTTAGAGATCATTAACTTTTACAAGTGAGGAAACTGAGACCTAGAGAAATCAGTAAGTTGCCCAAGGTCACAAAGGCAGTTAATGACAGAACAGGATAAAGAATCTCCCTGTCCTTTATTCTTTTCCGTCTACTAGTTCTTCCTCTTCTCTGACTTAATGTCCAACCATCCTAATTTATGTTGCTTAAAATGAGGTGCTATTTATAGTGCTAACATGCTATGCATACTTACTTCTCTGAGCATTCTACTACTAGTTGTTTTCCAACCTTGAGAGCAAAAAGTTCACAGACGGAAAGTGGAAGCCTCGAGGTTCAGAGGATGTCCCTGACACATTTCATCAGCATGTCCTTGGGATATCCAGGCCAGATCCTGGCTTTTAATATGCTGCCATAATTCTCTGCTGGGTCAGATGAAATCATTTCCAGGGTTAAAGACGTGTCCTGGCGATGCCACTCAAACTGGTCTTTCTCTTGTAGTCTGTACATCGTGTTGATCAAGGACGAAGCCCTCACATGGACCTGTGCCTTAGGGAAATATTTTCCCATACAACCAAAGGGAACAAAGTTGCTCCTCCAGTCAGGTGCCTGTGAACTGGAAAACTCACCTGAATGATTCTTTAGCATATAATGAGTCTACAGGGAATGTCTATGGTCCCTTTTCATTCTAAATCCTAAGATCCTGAGACTATTATTATCAAAAATCAATCAACAAACAATGATTCAATGTTCATAACGTTGCAGGCACTGTGATGAGTGCTAGGGATACAAAAAAAAGCAAGCAAAGGAATGGAGTGAGGAAGAGGGAGAATGCACGTTTATTAAGCACTTAATATAAAACAGTTCATTCATCAGTCAGTCAATAATCATGTGCTTACTATGAGCCACACACTGTTCTGGGAATACTAACAAAAGCAAAAAAAAATAGTTTTTGCCCTCAAGGAGCTCAGATTCTAATGGTATAGACAACATGCAAATAACCATGAATGCACAAGATAAATACAGTGTAAATGGGAGATACCAGGAAAAGCACCTAAGGGGAAGGGAGAGGGTAACTGAGAAAAGCCTACTGCAGAAGGTGAGTATTAAAGGAAGCCAGGAGACAGAAGTGAGATGGGGAATCCAGGCACAAGGCCGCTGTAAAGACATGGGATCTGGAGACAGAATATCTTGGGTTAGGAACACTGAATAGGTCAGAGCAGCCAGATTGTAGAGCATGAGATGGAGAGTTAAGTGTAGTAAGACTGAAAGGGGCCAGGTTGTGCCTCTGAGGCAGGGGCGGATCAAGTTCAAGTGTTATCTCTGATTTATGCTGTCTGTGTGAGCCAGGCAAGTCACTTAATGTCTCAGTGCTTTAAGGCAACTAGACATGGGCAAAACTGTACCCCATCCATATTGGTAAAGGAGTTTCCTTACCTGGGAACTCCTTTTAAAATTAAGGAATCACAGGTCTAGTATGGCCATTGTATGGATTTATTTTTGCTTAATTATGCTTTTTTTTTTCAATAAGGAGAGATGTTTTTGTATATGGCGAAAAGAACCAGTGCAATGAAACTAGTGACATTAATACCAAAAAAGGGAAGAAAAAGAAAAAGAATGAAAAGAGCATCAGTGAAACTTTTTAACACATAGAAGAGAACAGAAAAATTTCAAGAGGCAAAAATGAGCTGAACAGATTTGAAACTACTGTGTTGTTTGTCATACCCCTTTTAAAAAAATAAGCTATGAAATAGAGATTTTAAGATTTCATATATTTAAAAAATCAGAAGGCTAGAATTTAAAAAAAAAGATGAACACATAGACTAAGAAAATGTCCATTTTTTAACCTTTAAGACATCAGACTCAGAGCATAAACACATGGTTGACCAGCATGTCTCTGAGTCAACAGTGGTAGCTGGTTGTGTTTTTGTAGCCCACGTCCATGGGGCATAGGTTATAGAAGCAAGCTCAGTTGAAAAAGAATGAAAAGCCCACCCTAAAAAAACCAATCCCTGAATAATTAGGATGAAGAGATCCAGGCCCATGAAGCCTGAGTCTAAGGCAAGCTCATACTGTGCACTTTCTTTATGTCCAGAATTCATTTTTTGACTATGCCAAAAAGAAAAGAATCAGATATGGAATCAAAATGAATAAATGGCAGAACAATAGTGGCCCAAGGACATGGACCTAGTACGGTCTTACAGGGGAGTGACAATGACCTTTAACTTGGTGGTGAGCACTGCTCCTCAATGGGAAAGAATACTCTCATTTTCATGTTGGGTTCCACACTTCTTTGTTGCAGGGTTTTAATTCATGACCTGAACAAATTGGTTACAAATCAGTTTGACAGCCTCATTCGTAGCAGTGGACACAGTTACGAAAAGTACAACAGCTGGGAAAAGGTATGAATTGTAACAACTGCTCATGCCAAATTTGTGAATTATTCTGGAAGTGGGTTAACCATGTCTTTGTCGTCCATGGTCCTGCTTTTCAGATCGAGGCTTGGACTGGACAAATTGCGGCAGAGAATCCAAAACTTGTCTCTCGAAGTGTGATTGGAACCACATTTGAAGGGCGCTCTCTGTACCTTCTGAAGGTAATAATTTGTAACAATGACCCAGGTCTCCTGAAATGTTGGAAAGCATTGAATTCTAATCTATTAACATCTGGTTCATTGCCTTGCTTATACCAAGAAATATGTCATAACTCTTCCTGTTCCCACCTTCTACACCATCCTTCTTTACTACCCCCCGGGGAATCAAACAGATTCCTTGGCTACTTTTATCATTTGTGGATTTTTTTAAATCATTATTTTGATTTACTCAAAAGGAAAAATGCAATAAAACAGGGGAAATTCTGACCTATAAATTTAACCACATTCCTGTAAGCAATGTAAATGATCATCTACCTTGATGAAATTGTTCGCTCCCATCTGTTGTTTGCAAACCCCATTTGCTAAAGAGATCCATAAACCTCAGTGTATCAGACAACATTACAAAATGTACCAACAATTTGTTTATGTGTTCTTCAAACGCCATTCTTATCATTTAAATCTGATAAACAAATAAAATTACTAGGATCAAGGGGCATAAGGGACAGGAAAATGCATTGGCAAAAGGTCACAGCAATCACAATTGTTTTTACAGTTATCTCAGTCACGTCATTTAATGATATCTGGAAATAGCCATCAAGTGAATGAAGCAAGGGTAATCAAGTGTCCTCTGAAAATATGAGCTTGTCAACCTTAATAAAAATAATAAACAGCCATGTAAGCCTTCAGTTCCAACATTGTGATTGTCTAGAGGCAAGAACATTCTGTGCTCATATCATGTTTTAATTTAATCATGGAATATATCTCTTGCTGCTGTCAAGTTTCACCTGTTGAGTTCTCAGGCTCAGTCTGGTGATGGAATGCTTGCCACTGTATGGCAGATGAGTTATTGCTTCCTTCTTCTTCTGTTTGCAATAGGTTGGAAAAGCAGGATCAAACAAGCCTGCCATCTTTATAGACTGCGGTTTCCATGCTAGAGAATGGATTTCCCCTGCATTTTGCCAGTGGTTTGTGAGAGAGGTCAGTCACTAGAGTTACCTATTGATTTGAAAAAAGGAAATGTTATTTTTTTGTTTCTTATAAGGTCAGTTCAATTTGTGATTGTCTCTCAGTAATGACAAAGAATGATCATTTTAATAATCCCAACATTTTGTGTTAGTAAGTGATTTAAACATGCCCCGTTAGACCTTCACAAGGTAAGGTCTTACAGCAAACATTGAACAGTGCTGATTTCCACTTTCTTTATTCTGACTTCCTTCCCCAACTTTAATGGAAGATGAACAAATGGGAAAATGAACAGGAGAGTTGTAAGAAGCGAACAGCCCCTGGACAATAATTAATGTGGGTTTTGGAATAGGCCAATTTTTATAATGATTTTCAAATGATTCTAATTGTCAGCCTTAATAGTAAAATAGTATATGCAAAATCACTTTGAAAACTACAAATATATACAAATATAAGGAATTGTGTCATTGATCTTAATACCTCGTTAACTCAGTACTTCCAGGGATTATGATTTTGTGGGGAGCGATACATTCTTATCTAAAGCATATTAGGACATTATCTATACCTTAGAAGATCTTTTAAGAGGTGTTGTGGCTAAAAATCCATCACTCTATAGCCAACATAGGAATGAGCCTCTCTGATCTTAGTTAGCCTGGTCCTTAGACAACAAATGTACAGTTTAGCACAGGAACTATGCCTCAGAGCCTCTTCAATCTGGTAGGACCACCAAGAGCTTATGATCCAGGACTTATGGTTACTTTTTAACAGTAGAAGAAAGAGAGTAAATAAAGAGACCTTCACTATGATGGTTTTTGGAGTTAAGAAAATCTCCCCCACACCACTTGTGAATTCTCTTAGGATCATAGATCTAAAACTGGAAGGGTTCTTAGGGGTCATCTGGTCCAATCTTTTCATTTTATAGATGAGGAAACTGAGGCTCTGAAAGGCAAAAATGCTTGTTCAAAGTCGAACAGCTCCTCTCTCTTTTTTATTTTCATGTCACAGCTCTCTCTTAGTTCTCTTCTTACTGGTCTGATCCCTCCTTTTCAGTCTCCTTAGATGGATCTTCATCTGTGTCACACCCACTAATTGAGTGTTCCCAAAGACTATCTTTAGTCATTTTTTTTTTCTCTATACTCACTCACTTGGTTATTTCATCAGTTCTTATGGGTCAGATGACTTGTGAGTTGGATCTCATGAGCTCCTATGGAACATAGATAACTCCCAGATCTCTATCTCCATCCCTTGTCTTTCCTCTGAACTCCAGTCCCACACCACAACTACCTATTGAATCTTTGGAATCTGATATCCTGTAGTTATCTCAAATTCAACATGTCCAAAACAGAACTTATTTTCCCCCTTAAACCAACTCCTCTTCTAAGTTTCCTTGTTACTACCAAGGGCACCACCATCCTTCCACTCACCCAGTTTCATAACCTCAAGGTCACAGTTGAGTCCTCTCTCTCCACTCTACATAATAGCGACCAAATCTTGTAACTCTCCATACTTGTAACTTTCTCCATACATCTCTCAGATATGCCCCATATTAGCCTCTCATATTGCTATTACCTTAATTTCCTAATGTTCTAAAGCTCCTATGAACTATCATAATAAATTCATAATTTTCTATAAATCTATCCCTACTCCAAAACAATTCTGTAAAGAGATGCCAAAGTGATTTTTTCCTAAAATGCAGGTCTGGCCGTGTCACTCCTCCCCCCTTACTCATTTGGCATTTAAATCTTCTCACAAGTGACCTTTCCAATTCCACTAGTAAGTCTACTTCCTGTTCCTCACATATTCTAACTCAATATCTTTGGACTGATTATCCCCAAGCCTAGAAAACTCTCCCTTTTTACTTTCAGCTTTTAGAATCCCTAACTTCCCTACTATAGGACACCCTTCTTATTCCTTCCACACATTAGCTCATTCCCTTCTAAAGTTACCTTCTATCTACTTGTATATTACTGATTTATGTATATTTTATCTCCCCCCATTAGAATGTAAGCTCCTTCAGGGCAGCAACTCTATCTAGTTGTTCTTTTTAATCTCAGAATGCATCACAGTACCTGCCACAAAATAAGCACCTAATGCAGATTAGTTGATTGAGATAAGATTCAAACTCAGGTCATCTGACTCTAGATTCAGTATTCTTTCCGTGGTACCATGATATTTCCCTCTTTACTGGCAATCAGTGAGAATGTATGGTGAGGCAGTGGGAAGTAGCCATCTCTACTGCATGTCTAGATATACATTCTGCAGGCATGATCTATAGGAATACAAACTCTATAGGTCTATTTTCCACAGAAACTAAATGAGGCTATGGAATATATAATAAAGAATAACTTGCACCCCTCAATAAGGCATTCATTACTCTATCAATATTTTCTTTGCTCAGGTTGATAAAGGAATATGCCTTATTCTGGCTTTGGGAGAAAATTACTTACAGGGTGAGGGTGACTACATGCTTTTTTAAAAAAAGTTCTCATATTTTGGTAGATTTTGATTCACCTTTAAAATAGAAATGCAAAACTTCAGAATGGAAGGGACATCAGGCATCATGATGTCCAGCCCATAGCTAAATAGGAATCTCTCTACAACAAACCTAAGTGATCATCCATCACTAAAGACCCCTAATTAAAGAAATCTTCCACCTCCCAAGCCTACCAAATTCCACTTTGACAGAGCTTAAATTATTTGGAAGTTTTCCTTTAGGTCAAGTCAAAATCTATTTCTCTTCCACTTCAACCACTACTCCCAAGTAGTAAAAAATCTAATCCCCTGCTCTAAGGAAAAAAAAAGACTAAAATAAAAAATTATGAAGTTTCTATGAGATAAGCGGGAATAACTTTGAAGCCCAGGTGACATAGGAATTGTCATTTTTAATGATGACTAGATAATTTTCTAATCTCTTAAATGTCAGTGCTGTAATGCCTTTGGGTTAACCAAAGGCAAAGATATTCTATTCATTTAAAACATATTGAATCTGTTTTATGCACAACGATTTCCATCCAAGTGATGCAGCTGCAATTATTCTTCAGGCTGTTCGTACCTATGGAACTGAGATCCAGATAACTAATATTCTTGATAAATTGGACTTTTATGTCCTACCTGTTTTCAACATTGATGGCTATGTCTACTCATGGACCAAGGTACACAAACTTACTTCTTGCCTAGACATTCATTTGATGAAACTGAAAGTAAGAGCTTTAAAAAAATGACATTACTGTGTACCTTCTTTCAGAGTCGAATGTGGAGGAAGACCCGGTCCACCATTTCAGGCACCAGTTGTGTTGGTACTGATCCCAACAGAAATTTTGATGCTGGATGGTGTGGTAAGTATCTTTGTGACAATATTATAGTTTTCTACCCAAAAGTATAGCATTCAAAACACCTTACGTCATCACTAAAGAAAAAATAAATTTTATATACTATTATAGGAGATTATAAATACTTAACTTTCAGCCTTTTAATTTTGGTAGAATACTGAAGATAACTAATAGTCTGTACTTCTAAAAAAAAAGATAATATAGTGATATTAGCAGGATCTCTACAGCTATTCATTTGCTTCATGTATATAAATTTTCTTATATTACTCCTCTTCCAAGTCCTACTTTGCTACTTTATCACAGTGTGGAGGTTACCCTGTCTTTTCAGAGGCTCTGTTCTAACTCTATCCTACCAAAGTCAAAAGACTTCAAGTACAGATAACACCAGCTTTAATTGCCTCTCCCACAGGGACTATGAAAACTGTTACTCTACCTTTAAAAGGAAACGAATTTTGCAGAGTTACAGTTTAACTGTCATCTTGAAGACTGTGAAGCAACTGGCAGTTTCATTGTAATTATAGAGTCGGTTTTAAATGTCATGAGAGAGTGAGAAATAAGCAGAAGCCTATGGGAAAAGAGGTTTTATTTTTTTCTGATTTACTTCATAAAAAATACTTAATAAACTAGGTGGGGGCTCAGAGCTAATTGGTATAATTTTAGTAATTTATAAAGAAAAAGCAGAATTTACCCCTCAATTACACTATGATATAGGAAAAGAATTAATAATGTAATGAGTCAAATAGGCAGCGAGATGGTGGGGTTGCTGTTATTGTTCATGGTATAGCACCCTATGTAGCCCACCTGATTCCACATAGGCTTAATATGGGGATGTCAAACCAAAAATCTGCTACATATTGTATGGTTAAAGCCATAAACTGTTTTTGGTTTTAGGTTTTGTTTTGTTTTGTTTTGTTTTTTTGGTTTTCATTTTTTGTCAAGCAAGGACCAGTCTAGCTAAGTTTAGAGAGGTTTATTACCAAAATTTCGATTAACTGATACTGATTTTACACTGAAGAGTGTTGTGAAGAAAAGAGCATTGGATCTAATGGACTATGCATTTTCATATTAACTGGAAAATTTGCCATCCCATATCTCATAGTAAAAAAAAAACTCTATAGGATTTATGCATGCCTTTCACATTCTGAGAGGGAGAGGAGAAGAGTGAAGAATTGTGATATTAGGCATTTTTATATTAGCAGGAAAAACATACCAACTCTCCTCCAATCTCATAGTAAGAAGTCCTATATAGGCTTCTATACATCCCTTACACCAGAGATATCAAATGTATAGCCCACGTACCACAGCAGCCCACAATATTCCTTTGTACTGCTGAACCAGATTAAAATTAATTGAGAAACATTTAACAAATTTAACAAATTAAAATACAATAGAACATAGTTAATGTTAACATGTGTTTTTCTAAGTCAATAGGTAATTCACAAGGACCCTTATGTACAGTTTACTATTTGAATTTGACACCAATTCTTTATACATTGTTGTTGTTTGGGGGAGAGGGATCAAAATTTATGAGTTCACCAATGGGGAAATTCCCTCTACCACTGCAGATTGACATCCATTCTGAACTTTATAGTTTTAGGGAGTTACCTGTGGCACTGAGGGATCAAGTGATTCTCCCAGGGTCATACAGCCCATTTGAGCCAAAGGCAAGGCTTGGATTCAGGTCTTCATGACCTGCCACACTATACTTGCTTGAGGATAATTTTTAATACTCCCTTTTAACTCTAGCTTTTGACTTTCTAGCTTGAAGGCATAATATATTCCATTGGGTATCTCAATCATGAGCTATCAACCATTAATCATAACGCATGCTCTTACAGAAATTGGGGCCTCTAGCAGCCCCTGTGCAGAAACATACTGTGGACCTACTGTCGAGTCTGAAAAAGAAACCAAAGCCCTGGTGAACTTCATCCGCAAAAACCTTAATTCTATCAAGGCCTATGTGACAATTCACTCCTATTCTCAGCTGTTGCTGTTCCCTTACTCCAAAAATTATGCTCTCACAAAGGACCATGTTGAGTTGGTAAGTAGACAACCATTTTTCATTTTTATATGAAAGAAGAAGAGAGAAGAAATATCTCATGTCCATCAAATCTATCATTTCATTATGAGGTCTTTTTGTAATACTTAGAGGAAAAAATCTAAAGGAATAATTTCTGAAAGTTATTACATATTTTCAAGGAATCTTGAGTGACTTAAAAAAAACTGGCAAAGGGAGATGTGACTTTGTTGCATGGGGCAGAATGTCACATGTAGTTTATTAGTTAAATTTCAAAATGGCGGTACCTACACCACTTTTTGCTTCAATGAAGAATTGATTCATATGACTCAATTATGGAGGCTTTTGGGATAATCAACAAAGCTACTTTATCACACACACACTGTTCATAATTCTATTGTGAATCTATTGTATGAAGGAACCTAACCTTTCAAAAGAACTAAAGCATACAGAGGTAGAATTTAGTAGAGGTCAACTCAGATTTGGCAGCTAGGTGCTACCAGAGCGCATAGAGTGCCAGGCCTGGAGTCAGGAAGCCTCATCTGCATGAGTTCAAATCCAACCTCAGACACTCAGTAGCTTTATGACCCTGGGCAAATCACTTAACCTTTTTTGCCTCAGTTTCCTTATTTGTAAAATGAGAAAGAAATGGCAAACCACTCCAGTATCTCTGCCAAGAAAATCCCAAATGGGGTCATGGTGGGGTCAGACATGACTAAACATGAGTACATGATAGTAGAGAGATCAGCCACAAAGAACTATGTTACAGTCTTACCTCTGATTCAACCAGACAGTTAGATGGCACAGGAAAGAGTGATGGACCTAAAGTCAGGAAGACCTAAGTTTAAATGTGACCTTAGACACTTAAGCATTATATAAATGCTAGCTATTTGACTAGCTGTATGACCCTGGATATTATACTGCCTATATGACCCTGGGCCAGTCACTTAATTTCTCAATGTTCTAAGCAATTCTCTAAAACTGTAAGGTACAGAGAAAAGAATGCCAATTCACATTAATAGAGAGAATTTCCTCATCTGGGAGTTCCCTATACCAATGAAATCACTACAGGAGGTAAGTAACAATTTAATGCAATAATATAAGAAATATCCCAAGGCAGTACACAAATAACAGATAAAGATAAAATGACTAGTTCCAATTCAGGAAGAACAAAACTGAAAAATTAGAAATTAAGTAACCATTTGGCTTGCAGGAATAGAAACTCTTGTTTCACAGAGAAACTGTGTGAGGTTTTATTCATTTATCCAAGCCAAAATATTTTATCATTTAAAGGATGACATATATATTTTGGCTTACTCATATGACTAATACTTCAGAACAATCAATACATAAACTCAGCAACTGTAAAAGGTGGAATATTTTGTATTGGGGGAATTTGTTTGCTGTTTTTACTAAATGAATCATATAACTGCAAATATTTTTGAAAAGAAAAATAGAATAGGGGTAGCTAGAAGAGACAGGATCATAGAATCTCAGCTTTGGTAGGCTCACTAGTCCAATCCCATACTTGACCAGTATCCTTTCTACAACATCCCCAGTGCCAGTGGATATCCTGCCTTTGCCTAAAGGCCCCCAAAGATGGGAAGATTAGTAGCGCCCAAGGCTGACCAGACCATCTTTAACTAGCTTTAATTGTTTGGAAGTTCTCTTTCTCATCCAACGCCAATTTTCCTCTTTCAGCTTCTACTCATTGACCCTAGTTCTGCCCTCTGGGACCAAAAAGAAAAAGTCTAATTCTTCTTTGGATCACTCTAATCATTTTTCCATATGTAAACCAAAATTGACACGGACATTCTTTCAATCCATTTTTGAACTTCTCATAGAAGAGAAGCCATGTAGTAAAGTGGAAAGAACGCTGGATTTAGAGTCAATGAACCTGAGTCAGAATCCTAGTTCTGCAACTTATTTATACTGTGGGACAGTCACACAACAATCTGGGCCTCATCTCAGTTCCCTCAACTTCCAAATGAGAATGTCGGGCTAAATAATCTCTGAGATTCCTTTCTCATCTAAATCCCATGATCCTTGGGTTTTCTGACTACATCCCATAAGGAACTACATAGTTCATAAATATTAGAGCTGAAAGAGACCTCAATGACTGATCCTCTCTTTACAAAGGTGACAAAAATAAGGCCTAAAGAGGGGAAAGTGATTTTTCCAAGATCACATCACAATTAGGAACATATCTAGATCAGACTAGGCTAGAACCTAGTTGTCCTGATTCTCAGTGGAATGTTCTTAGGAATCCATCGATGTTTCAACTTTCTAATTATCTCAGAACTATTGTATTACCAAGTGAATAGTTTCAAATTATGCTGTATTCCGATCAAGGGAGCCCATTTTCACTCTATTATCCATTCAAATATTGTATCTACTCCTCAGTAGAATATAAGCTCCTTGATAGGAGGAATAGTTTTGTTTCATCTTCATTTCCCCAGTTCCTTGCACACAGTAGGCGCTTAGACATGTTTGTTGGCTTGGCTTGGTTTGGCTTGATTTGATTTGGTTTGACTGAGTTTGGGTTGAGTGGGATTGGGTGGGTATGTAAGAAAAAGGAAAAAGACGGGGAGGAGCTGGCTACTTTTACAAAATGTAAATCTGTTTAAACCACGAAATGGCAGAGATCTTGAGCTATTTTATTTTTTAAAAGTAGTTAAAGAAAAATGTAAAGTTAAACCAATTATGTACCTAAGGGTGTTAATGAGTAAGATACCAAAATGAAAAACTTAAAATGATTACTTTTCAAAATTAATCAACACATCTAGTTTTTTCAGGGACAAATGTACTATGTACACAAATTAATATTAATACTAATGAAGGAAGCCTTATCTCACAACATTCCTCTGAGACTTCTTCCATCCCTTCCTGCCAACATATCCTATTGTCTCCTGAAGATTCAGATAGATTTTATTATTTCTGGCAGTATACACTTAAAACCTTTTAAAATTAAGGTTGTATTATCAGCCAAATGGCTCTGTACACTGACCACCTAGTATTCTGGACTACTTTAAAGTCTCAAAATTGATTCTCAATAAAAAAGAATATTGTAAATAAATTCTATCTTCCGAATGGCATGCACTATATTCCCTCTTTCCTGCAGGAATTTGGTCCAAGAAAAAACCCAAGATTTAGAGGTCAGATGGTTTTAGTCAAACAATCCTTTTCTACCTAAAGTAATATGAATAAGTTATAGGAGCACATGGGCCATAAATAATTTTTTTTTTTACAAATGACTTTTTCACTTAAAAATCAAGAAAATCATGGAAGTGAGCAGCAACCCTTACCCAGGTAGAGTAGTCACTTCCTTCAAAGGTACTTCCAGATAGAAGTGGAGAATCTAATTTTCCAAAATACTGAGAGAGGATGAAAGAATGAAGGAGAGTATTGGGGAGATTTTAAGACTGCTCTAATGCAAGTGAACTAAGTAAACACAATGGGAAACATTTCTTTCCAATCTGAATGGTTCAAGCAAAGCTTTGAGTGATGAGAAGTAAATAAATTCTTTCTTTCTCCCAAGAGTTGGGGCTTGTGCAGCTGTTGTGTGTAGTTGTTCTCAACCATTTGAATAGTATAAGGGAAGCCAAACTAGGAGAATCTAGCCCAGAAGAAAACTCGGTCATGTGACTTCTGGCCCCATTGCCACTCCTAGACACAACCTTTTCTAGACTGTGAAGCCAGGTTTCCATTACCACATTCTCTCTGTGCACAAGTTAGGCAAAAACATTCTTCTGCCAGGTACACCTGGCTATGACAGTGATGTACGAGAGAGAAGATAACTTACCATCAGATGAAAAACTAATTAACCAATCACCAATCCCAAAACAATGACTGAACATTGATTAAGTAACTAGTATGCTAAAAGTATTTGTAATTTTTGTTATGCTGTAACTTTTTCTACCTGTTTTTTTCATCAATCTGCTCTATATTTTGAGATAAAAGAACTGACCACTAAGTTCACAGCTTTAGAGTTCAATTCTATCATCTTGAACCCAACCAAAGTAGAAACAGAGCTGGTGAAATTACCAGGATAACAGATGGAAACATAGGTAGGAAGAAAAACCCAACTAGTTTAAGCAGAAGACAAGAATTCAGCCCAATTTGGGGGATTCCTATTAAAAACAATAAATCAAATAAATACTTACGGAGTACCTTTAAAAAGCAACTTTTGGGAGTTTTGTGTAAAAGGAAAGTCAAAGCCCCTATACTCAACCAGCTTACAGGAGAGGTTCCTGAAGGTTGCCAAACCAGATCAAAACATAATTGAGAAATATTTAACAAAATATATAAAATACAACAGAGCATAGATAATGCTAATATGTGGTTTTCTAAGTCAATTTATGGCCTGCAGGGATCATTCTTGTTAGTGGCCCCGGTTTCTATTTGAGTATGACACCACTGGCTTGCAATAACATATACTAGGTCTCATCTCATTATCTCTGTATTAGGATCAGAGAATATTAGAGCTGGAAAGGACCTTACAAATTACCTAATTTCACCTCCAAATTTTACATTTACATTTTTTGACCAATCAAAACACTAAATGACTTTCTCAAGGTCAAACTGCTCATTAATGGCACACCTGGGATTGAAACCTAGGACTCTGCTACTGGCTTCATTACACTGGATTATTGTTCATTATTAATCCTCTGGATTAAAATTCCAGTTTATGTGGTACCACACCAAATGCCCAGTTGGGTTAAAGCACTTTGTAAACTTTAAATGCCCTATAAATAAGAGGTATTGTTATTATTTTTATTATTCTAATCAAGGCAAAATGCATTTGTAACTTAGTAGAAAAGTCTGGGGCTCAAAGAGGTTCCACGGATTTGTTGGGGTCATGTATCCAGCAATATGAGAAGTAGGACTCAAAGTTAGGTCTTCCCCTTTTCCAAGCCCAGCTTTCAGTCCATTCCATGTTTCCTCTCTGTATCCTGGATGGAATAAGATAGCATAGACAAGAATTAGAAGTACCAGGAAGTGGGTGGACATTGCTCCATACTGTT